TAATAATAATGTAACTGGAGAAATTTAATTTCATGTGAAAATGCTGTGTGAAAGCAAAAAAAAGCTGAAACTAGCAGAATAGTAGCTCAAATTAGCTAAAAAACAGCTAAACAGTACCCGAAAGGGCAAAAAGTTGAAATTAGTAGAAAACAGCTGAAAGAAGCATAACTAGCTTAAAAGCAGCTGGAAATTTAAATAAGCAGAAAAAAGCTGAAATTCGAGGAAATTAGCTGAAGGAAGCTGAAATTAGCTGAAGGAAGCTGAAATTAGCTGAAGGAAGCTGAAATTAGCATAAACAAGCTGAAAAAATACAACCAGAAAAAATATGAAATGAGTATTAAAAGGTTGAAAAACAGCTCAAATGATTTGGAAACTCTTTTCATTTTCAATAAGAAAAAAGTGTCTGAAAAGGCTTAAATACTTCAAAAAGTAATGAGTGCACAGATACAAGTCATAGCAGGAATGTCCTGAATGAGCCGAACATTTTGATGTATAAACTGTTGAAACAGCACAAAAACCACAGAAGGTGATGTGCTGAAAAATGTAGAAGAAAAAATATAGTGAATAATATAGTGTACATAGTGTATAATAATAGTATAATAGTGAAAAACTAGTGTGAATGCTTGATAAGCATTTAAAGCAACAACATCATCATCATCCCAACAACAACAACACATTAGTCTTACACAGCACTTCTCTACGGACTCAACAATGTTTTACAGATTTTCATGCATTCCTAAGCTGCAGTGTAATCACAGCTGTCCTGAGGCAGATTAACAGAGGCGGGGCTGCCGTACACCGGACCCTCTGACCCCCACCAGCAGGCAAGGTGGGTGAAGTGTCCTGCCCAAGGACACAACAGCAAAAAAGGTCAAAACAGCTAAAAAATATAATAATAATAATAAAAGCTGGAATCAGCAAAAATACAAGCTGAAGAGAGCTTTAAATCCCTGACAAAAGGCCGGTGATGAGTCAGCTGTTTCCATGAAAACATGTATTATAGCTTTAGCATCAATTTTACTAATGTTGATAATTACCTCCACCAAGGGAGGGGGTAACTGATTTGATTTTGATTTATTTATTTAACAGGAAAAGATTATTAAAAATCAAGCCTGACTCAGCATAATTGCTGTTTTACAGCAGGTTCCTGTTCTGCAGCACATAAAACACTCAGAATTACAGCATCACAATCACATCATTATTCACCATAGACACAAAGACAAACAAGCATACCAAATTTCATGAAGGCAGCATTTGCAAAATAGAACGTCTAAATATGAGCACAACAAAAAGTGTGTTTTCGGTCGCGTGTGTGTGTGTGTGCGTGCGTGCGTGTGTGCGTGTTTTTGTGTGTGTGTGTGTGTGTGTGTGTGTGTGTGTGTGTGTGGACAAAATTACTCAAAAACTTGTGGACGGATTTTCATGAAATTTTCAACACAAGTGGGTACCGGCCAAAGGAAAACACCATTAAAATTTGTTGATGGACCGGATCACGATCCGGACCCAGGAACAGCCAATCAGCTTCAAGGAAGCTGACCGTACACTTCCAATTACATCGTATCATTCGTGGACGGGTCAACCCCCCGACTTTACACATCCAGTGGGATTGCCTGAAGCGGTGTAGACGACCAATGACGAAGGCGCATGGAAATAAAACTTTAGACCGAATTGTTTTTAAATCAAAAAACTTCCTGTTTGAAGTTACTTTAATGTAACAACAGATCATTTTCATAATACATGGGCCTGTGCGTCCTAACAATTTTGTATTTTGTGTTTACGTTTTTGGAGTCCCCCCACCCCCCCACCTGTGTCAGAAAGGTAAGCTAGCTAACTCACCACCCCCCGTTCAGGTCTGTTATCCAGTAGATCAGGGTTTCTCAAACCTTTTGGGTCTGAGGACCCCTTACAGGTGTGAAACGTTTCCAGGGATCCCCTCATAAATCCCATGCTGTTTTAGAAATAATTTACTGTCATTTTAACCACTAAATATTACGAGAATATTATGTTTTTGTTTGGTTTAGTATGTTTGTTTTACTAGTGCATTGTTCCTCATGTTCATTTTACAAATAAAATCCAAAATAACCATTTATTGAAAATTTTTGAGGACCCCCAAGATAGGGCTCGTGGACCCCTGGGGGTCCTTGGACCCCAGTTTGAGAACCTCTGCAATAGATAACGCTAAGTTTTTCTTAAACTATTATGTTTATTCTGTCTTTTTATGGCTAAATGTTTTCTGTTTCCTGATACTGCTCCACTCCTCCTGTTGCATGTAATTTATCATGTGTTTAGTCGTTGTAAAGCACTTGTACACAAACACACATTGACTAAAAATGTAATAAATCACATACAAAACAAACACACACACACACACACACACACACACACTCACAAACAAACATACGGTCTTGGCGGAGGTTTGTGCTCTCCGAGTGCTTCTAGTTTTATTATTTGTTTTGCTGCTTTTAACCTCTGTTCATCTCAGTTCCCACCTTGACGGTTCCTCTGACTCCTCCTGCACCTCCTGTCCTGGTCCTCCCAGCCTTCCCTGCACCTCCTGCTCCTCGGGTCTCAGCATCGCCTCCATCCTCGTGCTCGTCTCTGATCCTCCTCCTGAAGAGGCTGTGGAGGCTCAGGACCACCAGCGTGCAGAGGACGTACATGACCCTGTCTCACAGGTGCAGCTCAGAGTCGGGCCGGCTCCAGGTGAGCTTCATCTCAGGACAGGTGAACCTCTCCGGTTCCTCCAGCTGAGCTCAGTTTGGATCCGTTTCAGTCTTTGTGGTTCCTTTGTTTAATCATCGTGCTCCCTCCTTACTTTTCTACCTCACCTGTTTTACCTCTGTCCCGAATCCCGCCCCCTCCCAGCACACGCCATACTTCCAAAGAACCGATAAGAGACCTGGACCTTGTCCCGTCTTCCTGTTGTTGCCGTCACGTCCTCAGGTGTCCCTCAGGGAACCGAAGCCTACAGCTCAGGTGTCTCTCAGTAACTCAACACTCAGCTGCTTCATGAGTGCCAAACGTTTTCCACTCAAACCATCGTCGAAATGAAACCCGTCTTCCAAAAACCATCTGGAACCTCTGCAGGCAAAGATGCCGAACTTTAACTTAAATGTAGGAGGTTCAGTTCCGGTTGTGTCTCTTTGATTAAAGTAATATTTAGTAATAACTTCCATCAACAGCTGCAGAGAAGTCTTTACGGCTCTGAAGTCGACTGAACGCTGCAGACTGATGAGACCAGCAGATCCTCTGTGGAAACATCCAGAACCGGTGGATCCAGAAGCTCTGGGTCTAAAAGCAGAGTTCAGGTCTTCTGGTCTGTGATCAGGCTGATGTGGAGTCCGGTGAATGAGAACGATTCCCTCTGAATGAAACAGATTAAAGTCTCAGGTCTTTAGATCCACCCGGCCCCCCTCTCCCCCCCTCCCTGACCCGGGACCATCTGCCGCAGCAGAATAAAACCTGTCAGAGCGTTTCCACGTTTCTCTGTTCATTTATCTTAATATTTCACTTTGTTCACAATCTAATTGTTTTAACGAAGCGTCTCTCAGCAGGCTTTTATTCTGGCGGGTCAACTACGATCTCTGGCCCCCTTCCAGCACATGCTGGCCCCCCGGACCCTGTCGGAGCCGACGGTCTGAATCACAGCCAGAGAATCTTGATGCAAACATCAGATTGGCTCTGACCCGTGGGCAGTAAACAATGATGGTTCTGTTTCTGGAAACGGGTCCAGGGATGTTTTGGGTCCACTAACAAAGAAGCAGAAAATACACCACGAATGGTCCAACCAGGGACCACCCAGATGATGGACCGGTCCAAACTACTGAAACAGTCAACAGCTCAATCCATGCTAAGATGATTATGTTTGCTGACAGTTTGCTGCGTGACATAAATGCCAGAGTTCAACTCTAAACTCAGACAGTAAACCCAACGTTTCAGCGTTAAATGTTCGATTTATCAGAACCTGAACTCAGAGGAACATGTTGGGTTTTTACTGAAGCTCAGGATCTAAAAAGCTAAAGAGTTCCAGAGATTTGAGGAGAAAAAACTAAATTATGACTCCCAGTGAAAATAAAGTCCAGACTCTGGTACCAGAGCTCTGGTTAATGAAGTACAAATACTTTCTTTTACTCAAGTAGAAATTTTGAGTATTTATACTTTACTGGAGTGTTTTTTATCCACCTTTTAACTCCAACATTTTAAGAAACGCAAAGAAGTTTTTCATTTCTGTTTCACTTCAGCTTGTTTTCATCCCAGCTTGTCATCATCTCATTATCCATCAAACCATCCAACCATCAAATCATCGAACCATCAAACCATCCAACCATCAAACCATCCATCCATCAAACCATCCATCCATCAAATCATCCAACCATCCATCCATCCATCAAATCATCCAACCATCTATCCATCTTTCCATCCATCCATCCATCCATACATACATACATCCATCATCCATCCATCCATCCATCCATCCATCCATCCATCCATACATACATACATCCATCAAATCATCCAACCACCCATCCATCAAATCAAACATCCATCCATACATACATACATACATAAATCCATCAAACCATCCAACCATCAAATCATCCATCCATCCATCCATCAAATCATCCAACCATCTATTCATCTTTCCATTCATCCATCAAACCATCCAACCATCAAATCATCCATCCATCAAACCATCCATCCATACATACATTCATCCATCCATCAAATCATCCAACCATCCATCCATACATACATTCATCCATCTATCAAATCAAACATCCATCCATCCATACATACATCCATCAAATCATCCAACTATCCATCCATCCATCCATCCATCCATCCATCCATCCATCCATCCATCTATCAAACCATCCAAACATCCAACCATCCATCCATCCATCCATCAAAGCATCCAACCATCCATCCATACATACATCCATCGATAAAATCATCCAACCATCCATCCATCAAATCAAACATCCATCAAATCAAACATCCATCCATCCATCCATCCATCAAATCATCCACCCAACCAACCATCAAACCATCCAACCAAACATCCATGGGTAGGAATGTAGATGAAAACCATCCATCCATCCATCCATCCATCCATCCATCCATCCATCCATCCATCCATCCAGTCAACCATCCATCCAGCCCACCATCCAACCATGGGTTGGAATGAAGATGAAAAAATCCAACTATCCATCCATCCATCCATCAAATCAAATCAAACACCCATCCATCCATCCATCCATCCATCCATCCATCCATCCAACCACACATACATACATACATCAATCATCCAACCATCCATCCATCCATCAAATCAAACATCCATCCATCCATCAAATCATCCACCCAACCAACCATCAAACCATCCAACCAAACATCCATGGGTAGGAATGTAGATGAAAACTATCCATCCATCCATCCATCCATCCATCCATCCATCCATCCATCCATCCAGTCAACCATCCATCCAGCCCACCATCCAACCATGGGTTGGATTGTAGAAGAAAAAATCCAACTATCCATCCATCCATCCATCCATCCATCAAATCAAACATCCATCCATCCATCCATCCATCCATCCAGTCAACCATCCATCCAGCCCACCATCCAACCATGGGTTGGATTGTAGAAGAAAAAATCCAACTATCCATCCATCCATCCATCCATCCATCAAATCAAACATCCATCCATCCATCCATCCATCCATCCAGTCAACCATCCATCCAGCCCACCATCCGACCATGGGTTGGAATTTAGATGAAAAAATCCAACCATCCATCCAACCATCCATCCATACATACATCCATTGATCAAATCATCCAACCATCCATCCATCCAATCAAACATCCATCCATCCATC